AGTCCAGCACCAGGCGGAACACGGCCGGGCTCACCATGTCATGGTCCAGGTTTAGCAGGTTGTCGTGCACCACCAGGGACTTGAGGTAGGCGCTGCTGGCCGCCAGCACGTTCTTGTGCGCGCGGAAGAGGGCGTTCTGCACTACGATGATCACGTCGCACAAGAAGCCCTTGGTGCGCTGGTTGTTGAGCTGCAGCAGTAGCTGCCTCGAGTGGCCAGGCGCCTCCATCGTGTCCAGCATCGTCTGCCCAGCACACTCTCCTGCGGGGACACACACCAGCTGGGTAAGAGCTATGCTATGCCGTGCAGTGCCCGGGTCGCTTGCACCCAGCCCAGCACCGTTCCCCTCTGCTTCCCCTTCCCCTCAGCCGAGCGGGAGCATGGAGCACCACGGCCTGGACACTAACAGGGAGCGCTCAGCGGCCTCCGGGAGTGGGAGCCTAGGCCCGCTGGCCCCAGACAGGAAGAGCAGAAGAAAGACTGTGGATGGAGAGGAGGCCAGGTTAGCCTATTTGTCCCACACCCAGGTGCTGCTAATTTCCAGGGGAGAAAACTATTCGGGCGAAATGACCCTTTCGGAGGCAATTACCCGATTTAAGTAAAATGTCCGCTTCAGGAAAAGTCATTCAGGGCCGAAAAGTTTGCCCAAGTGGGGTGAAAAGGAGCCGAGTAAGAAGCGCCTCCCGCCTCGAAAGAAGTTGCCCCAGTTAGGGGAAGTGATAAGGAAGACAAGAGCACGATGCCCATCGAGGCGCCGCCCTGGCCCGGGGCTGTCAGGCCTTCGTTTGGGCCGGCCGCCCCGGCGCGGGGAGCGGAGACAGTGGCTGCGGTGGCGGGCAGAGCGCGAAGGCCGGGCCCCGGCGCGGGGAGGGCGTTATATCGGGGCAGGAGGCTGAGGCAGGAAGCAGGTGGGGGGGAGGGGGGAGCCACGCAGCTCCCAGGGGAGGGAGGGGGGCAGCGCCCCGGGCGGGCACGGCGCACAGCCGGCTGCGGCCCTGACCTCGGCCTGCGCCCCACCCGCGTTCCGGACCCAGCCCCGGCCTCGACTCTACATCTCTTCTCCAGCTCCCCTCGGCCCCGTCTCCCCCGAAACTCTGCCGCCCCAAACTTGGGGGAAACTTTCCCAACTTCAGACAGGGCGGGAGGAGCGTGCCGGCCCTAGTCCTCCCAGCCCCCAGTTTCTCCTCTAGGCTCCCCAATTTCAGCAGCCTGGCAGCCGCGGGACCCACACCTAGTCTTGAGCCGCCCTGCCCGCCGGCGAGCGCGCCCGCCCCTGTTCCCCGCCTGGCCCGCAGGGCCTCGCCGGCCCGTTACCTGCGGCCGCAGCCCAGCCCGGCTTCCCTCCCCGAGGCTGTGGCAGCTCCTAGCCCGCGCCCCACCCGCCCCGCTGCCAGGCGCCGAGCTGTGCCAGGGCAGCGCCCCTGCCAGCCCCGCCCGCCGGCTCCCCTTGCCTTCCTCCCCAGCCCATGTGCGGGCAGAGCCGGCCCGGGACCGCTGACCCCGCTGTGAACCCGGCGCCCAGCAGCAGCCCAGCGGTCCCGCGTCCTCTAGGGAAGACACTTAGTGCCCTAAACGCCGGCCCCGGCCCGGGCGCCCGCCCCTGAGGATGCTCCCCGGCCGGCCCGCGCGCGAGGACCAGGCTGTCCCGGGTCCCTTGCTTGCCCCTTCCCAGTCGCCAACTCGAGGACCCACCTGGGGGGCATGTCGGAAGCCCCGGGCCCGGCTGCCGGCGGATCCAGGGGGGACGTGGCTGCAATGCGCTGCCCTCCGCCCGCCGGGCCCCCGGTCGGTCTGTCCTGCCGGTCCGTCCTCCCCGCGTCCTGGTCGCGTCTCAGCCCCACCGCGCTTTCCGCACACTCTTATCTGGAGCGGCCCGAACCGGCAGACGCTGCCGCAGCCATGGCGCCACCTCGCGGCCGCACGGGATTGTATATGGCCGGGCTGCGACCTCTGGCGCACACCTGGGCTGGAGGTTTACAGATGCGGAGCTGAGCTGGAGATCTGCAAGTCCAGGCTTCCAGATGTGCCCACCTGGGGACCCAGATATCGAACCTGGGAGTCCCATAAACCCTGGGGTTTTGAGCTGCGTGCTCCCGAGTACGTATTTCTATGTAATGTGGCGCCAATTCAGAAAAAGTTCTGTCTTCAAAATGGGAACTCTGAAGCCGGGTGTAATGGCACACTCTGGACAGTTGGAAGCAGGAGGACCAGGAGTTCGAGGTCAGCCTCTACCTCATGAGACCCTCTCTTTAAAAACAAAAAAGGATGGGGGTGGAACACTAGTGACAGTAAATGTTGAGACAGAGATTTTGGAAATCCTAAATAAGATGAAAGTAGATACGTTCGGAGCGGAAAGGGGGGCTTTCATTAGGCATTTCTGAACACCACTCTCCACTTGGACTCAGGCTCCAAAAAATCCCAACTCTCTCTCAGGCACATGTCATCAGTGTGCACATCACAAACCGTCGACACTCAGACGCTGTCCAAGCAGAGACACTCGATGGAGCATATGTTTACACAGGCAGCCTGCCCCCTCAGGAGCCCCAACTTCTTGGGCTACTGCGGAGGCTGCTACAGAGAGCACCCCTGTGACTTGCTGGTCTCCAGAAGGACCCTAGGATCCTCCGATTGGAAGTAGCTGGACAGAGCCCCTTGGGACATGCCCCCCCAAACCTCACATCCCTCGTCTAAGCAGTTTTGAGAGATCCTAAGTGATTTTTTTTCACCACTCCACCACTTGAGAAATGTCACCAGAGCGGGCGGCCTAACACCCACCCCCTCCCAAAAGATCCTACACGCCACACCAGGGAGGGCTCGATTCACGTAGGCGACGCCTCTTCTAGGAGGGCGGGGACCGTACACCGGCTCGTGGGTGCTCTCCGGAAATGTCCCTGCGCAGCGGGGCGGAGGCACCAGCATCGCTGCAAGCACCGCGCCTCAGTGGCCCACGCTCCGCCTCCTCCCCGCACCTCCTGACCCCCGCCTACACCATGGGGGGGGGTCCCCCAAACCGTCCACAGCTTCTTATTGGCTGCTTCTTCTTCCGTGGCCAAGCCGGAGAGGCTGGGGCGCAGTTACTATGGTAACCAATGAGGTTCCCAGGATCTCATCTCTCAGAGGCCTTGGAGAGCTTAGCAACCACGCGGGGCCGCAAGGCGGGTGGGGGCCGCGCTCGCCGCACCCCACGCTGTCCTCGAGCCCGTCGCCCCCGCTTGAGGTAGTGGCTGAGTCACTCGCTCGGGGCTGCAGACACGGCCTCTAGCTGTACCAGTGAGACACCAAGGTCTTGGGCGCCCCCTAGAGGCTGCGTTTCACTGGCAGGAGACTTCTGCGCCTGGCCTAGGCTTCTGGTCCAAACAAATCAAGACTGCCTGCCCATCGCCAGGTTTCCGCGGTGTGCTCCGCGTGCGTCTGTTCCACGTACAGCCTTGTATCTCCCCCACGGTATCCTTACAAGACAAGCACCGCGGTCCCACAGTGGGCTCCGCAATTTACGAGTTCTAGGAGAAGCAGACACAGTACCTCCACCGAGGGATATGTTTTCGGGCTGAAGCGGAAGTGTAAAGGAGTGTTGTGGGTGTAAAAGCTCAAGAAATGCTCTTAGCGATGATTTTTAACAGATCAATAGCGTTCTCCCTCCGGATCGGAGGCCAAATCCCAAACGGCAAACAGGGGTGTCTCTGTTTTAGTTTTTCTCCTTTTAATAGGTTAGATTGTACCGAGTTTGAAGAGAAGCCCTCAGCCTCTGTGTGTCTTTTACACAATAGAGTGTATCCGCTGGCTGACCCACACACTGTGTCCACCGCTCTTGCTCTCTCCACCATACCCCACATAGTCTTAAGCCCTGGTTGCATCGCTATGCGGAGGGTCACACAGACCTGCCCATGCTTCTCCACTTACTCCGCTCTCCTCTTCTCCACGCGTCCCCAGCCCCGTCCACAGGTCTCACTATGTATCCATGGCTGGCCTCGAACTCACAAAGATCTGTCTGTTTCCCATGTGCCGCCTTTTAACTCCACTTTCCCCTCCTTACTCAGCTCCCCGGTCAACCTGGTGCAGCTTTTTCCCCTCGCCGAACACGTGCCACCCCCATTTATAGCCTAGACATAGAATTGGGCTGTTCCACATCGCGTGAGTCCCTTTGTCCAGTCCTTACTCCTCTGGAAAGGGGTCCTTGTCACACCCCCCCCCCGCCAAGCTCAGCAGTCTCATTTTAGTGTCATTCCCTCTTTTACAAGCTCTGCCTATGCTTATTCCACCAACGAGGGCTGAGGTGGTCCCTCCGTGCCAGAGCTGGGCACTGTCAAGTTGCCGTCTCCATCACTAGCCCTTCCTTTTGTGGACACATTGCCCAAACTCTCATAGAGGACTCTCTGCTCGTCTCTGAAGCCTAGGCTACACTCAACTCCCTTACCTTCCCTGTGGTTTCCACCATCCGACTGGCACCCTCCCAGTCAGGAAGCCTTCCAAAACTCCAGGCTTCACCACCCCTCTTTCCCCAGCCTCTAGCTGGGGTTCCTTTCCTTGGCCCCCCGAGAGAGGGGGGGCATACGGGGTGTGATACCGCCGCGGGGCATCCTCTAGCGTCACAGAGCTGTCGGGTCTAGGAATTGAGGTTTGTGGTTGGGGGCTACCGAGTGTGGACCTCGAGGTCCCGGCGAGAGAGAACTTAGCCCCCCAGGACTCCCAAAGCCCCGAAAGGGGAGAGTGAATAAACATGTAAAGGGGCCGCACCCTCCCAGTGCTACCCTCCTCCAGCCCGTCGCCTGCAGTTCCGGAAAGTTAACCCCTTGGAGGCCAAGCCTGGGGTTACGTACTCCCCCTACCCAATCCTGCTTCCGCGCGCGCACCCTCCTCCCGCTGCCAACTCCCTGTCGCCTCATCCCGTCCTCCCCTACACCGCCCGCCCCCCGCCGCGCGCTTGCCACTATAAATAGCCTCTTTTCCCGTTTCCTAAATTCCCTGCTGACGTCGGCAGCGCGTCAGTGTGTAGGAGCCGCGGCCGCATGAATGAGCCGCCGCACGAGTACTACGCGCGCCTATAAAAGCGGCGGCGCCCGCCGGACTGCGGGAGGGAAGCCGGCACCGGCGCGACGCGGCCCGCCAGGTAAGGACCCACCGACGGTCGGAGATGGGCCAGCGCGGGGACACCATGGGAAGGCACGGAGGGCCCCGGCGGGCGGAGGGTTGGAGGGTCGCCCCGGAGTGAGGCTGGGGGCAGAGTGGGAGGGACGAAGGTTCCTCGCAGCTTGGTGGAACGCGGGCCGGAGGCTGACCCAACCCAATGCAGCACCTGCCGACACCCAGATGAAGACGCAGACACTCTGGAGAAACATCGAGCGGAGAACCGAGCCCCTCACCCCATTTCCCAAGGCTGAACGGTTCCTGCGCCATCCTCCCAAGAAAGTGGGGAGAAGGTGCTGGAGTCCCAGGAGACGCGCCCCCTCATTCTCTCCCTGTCCGCAGCGCGGTGACTCAGCCTAGATGGCCCCGATTGACTGAGCCAGGGCGCCCACGACAGACAGACGCACGCCTCGGCCTGCGACTCTCTTGGAGCCCCCGCCCCGCATGCTGCCCAGACACCCCTTCCCAGTCCGGTCCCGTCCCTTCGGGCTGTCCCACTGCGCCCAGGACTTCCCGCCTCTGCGAGCGGAGCTGTCCTCTCAGGACCAGGCGGGGGCGGGGCTTCGGCCAGGTCGCCCCGCTCCACCCCCACCGCCACCCCACTGCCGGAAGTGCCTCCCCGCTGGGACATCTTTGACGTCACAGGACTCTGACGTCAACGGTCGCGTGCCTGCCCGCGCGCGCTTGGGCGGCGGGGGACGTGTGAAACAGCAGCGCCCCAGCCGCGGGCGACGGGACATCCCCGCCCGGGCAGCGCGCCGGCACCTTGGCTCTAGACTGCTTACTGCCCGGGCCGCCCTCAGTAACAGTCTCCAGTCACGGCCACCGACGCCTGGCCCCGCCCCAGGACCGCCGACCCCGGGCCCCTCCGCGCCTCCCTACGCCGCTCAGCCGCTGTCCGCGGTGCTGATGCGGCGCAGGAGCCTCCCTCGAGCCCTCCCGTCCAAGGTCCCGTGGGCTGCTGTGGGCGCTGGTCCCGCACACGCTCGCACACGCTCGCACAGCCCCCGCCGCCCCCGCCGCCCGCGGAGCTGACGTCAGCCTGGCAGTCCCGCCCCCGCGTCTCCAGGGCAACCGTGGCTTTCGATTGTTACTGTGGGAACCGGAGGTAACAGTCTACAGCCATGGTCGCCCCGCAGCACGCCCACGCTCCCCACCACGCCGAGTTCTGCCAGCTCGGGTTTGGGCAGATGCAGAGCAAGAGGAGGCGGGGCGGCGACGCAACATCCGATGTGTCTGCGGGGGTGGCAGGAGGTGTGCTTAGACAGGCGGCCTGCAAGGCTGCTGCGCATCCACCCAGGCACAGAAGCGAGCAAGGTCCGCGGAGTGTCTGACTGTCCTTCTCAGTGACTGTCCGGTCTTTCCAGTCGCGGTATCTGCTACCTAATGAAGGCGAGAAAATGGGTTGCTCTGAGATAAGATTTCTTATCTCCTAGGGGGTGGAGGACAGAAGAGACCAGGAGTCCTTCAAGAAGGAAGGAGGAAACACATTTGCCTGCAAAAGACTAAAGGGAGCGGAGAGGGAAGTTTATCACACCTTTCTTCCAGAAACTCCCATGTGAACAGGCAGGGGCAGAGGGCACAGAATCCATTTCCTGATAGAGCTACAACCTCCCTATGACTCTGTCCCCCAGCTTTCTCCTGAGCCACGGAAGATGATTAAAGGGTCCTTTCCGGGCAGTGAGTGGTTGGCGCACGCCTTGAATCTCAGCAGGCTGATCTCTGTGAGTTGGAGGCCACCCTGGTCTACAGAGCAAGTTCCAGGCCAGCAAGTTCACCTGGTCCCTTGTCGGAACATATTAGCCTTCAGTTGGTCTCTTAAGTGTTGTATCCAACTCGAGTTTCTCCTACGTGTCCTAGAAAGGAGTACCACAGAGGCTGAAGGTCGTACTCTGTGGCCAGGGCTGTTGAGGGACTCTGCTAGGGTACTGTCTTTCCTCAGAGCTTTAGAAATCCCGGGTGTAACCGAGGCAGGAAACAAATGGGAGGGATATTCTGAAGACAGACAAATCTTTTGCAGATTGAACCCATCAGAAGAACATGGTCAGAAGGTTGACTGTACAATACTGTGATTTTTTGGTATCCTAGAAAGCAGTGCAAACCATGCCCTCCTCCCCAACTTATTTTACAGATTGGAAAGCTGAGGTCAACGTTGGGTATTTAGCCTATAGTGAGTGGTAGTTTCTGCTTGCTTTCTACGGGGCAGCAGAGAAGCCACCAAAGCCAGGAGCAGTGGTATTTACTCGCAGTTCCAGATACTCAGGAGGTTGAGGCAAGAGAGCCCTTGATCCGAGAAGCTCCAGGCTAGCTTAGGCAATAAGTATAGTGAGATCCTCTGTGTCTCAACAATGAGGAGGCAGGCAAGTGATGGTAACGGGCAAGAATGTGAACTTTTGGGTCTGAATCATCCAATCTTGAGTAAGTACTTAAACATTCTGAGCCTGTTTCCTCAATTGTAAATTCGGTTATTAGGTTTATAACAGTACTTACTTGATGGCATTACAAAATGAAATTAGGCAATGGGGGGGTGAACTGGCCATAGAGCTCTGTGGTGCAGTCTGTATTTAGCATGCCCAAGGTCCTGTGATCTGTGGCACCAAAAATAAATGAGTTTATAAGCCATGTTAATTCATGCTTTTGAATCCCAGCACTTGACAGAAATAAGTGGATTTCTGAGTTCGAGGCTAGCCAGGACTACAGTGAGACCCTGTCTCAAAAATAAATTAGATGATGAGTTGCTACTTGTTCCATTATCTGGTATAGTTATTTCTCAGTAAATATTATTTCTAGCCTCTGGCTCTTATTTGCCTGGGCTATAAATTGAAAGGGTTTTTTTTTTTTGTTTTGTTTGCTTTTGTTGGCAGTGTTTCTAGCTGGGCAGTGGTGGTGCAATCCTTTAATCCCAGCACTCCGGAGGCAGAAACAGGCGGATCTCTGCGAATTTGAGGCCAACTTGGTCCACAGAGCAAATTCCAGGACAGGCTCCAAAGCTAGAGAGAAACCTTGTTTCAAAAATCAAAATAAAAAAAGCTCAACAGTGTTTATATAACACTCCTGGAACTCTCTCTGTAGACCAGGCTGGCCTTGAACTCACAGAGATCCACCTGCCTTTGCCTCCTGAGTGCTGGGATCAAAGGCTTGTGCCACCACACCCACTCCACTAATTTGAAAATCTTAGAACAATGATTCCTCGGGGGCCTGCTGTATTTCCTCCCCAGAGGGTTCTGAGTCACATCAGAGGCTCTTTCCTAATAACACATATTTACCAGGGGCTTAAAATTCTACCCAGGGCTGTAGTTTTCAAGTACCTACCTCAGGAATGACCAGGGGTAGTTTATCACATAGATCTGTAGTTTGCTCTAGGAATTGCAAGTTTAACAAATGTTCCTCGTGTAAGTGGTCCACAGGATGTGCATGTGGACAGCTTGGGGTTCAGTCTGCATGGTGAGAGGTGACACCCTACTTGTTGGCAGTCACAGCCATTCCGATTACTCCAAGCATGAGCACTTCTGTTTCACCTAATATGGCTCTGCCTGAGCCCCCTCCTTCCTTTTTCCTGGTAGAGCCAGAGCCTAAGGACCACTTATGTGGATCTTTATTTAGAGGACTCCCAAGGAATGCAAGTCATCCTTTCCCCAGCTTGGAACCCACCTAAAGGGGGCAGCCTATGACTGCCAGAGAATCTGAGTACTTATTGATTTGCAGATCCATCTATTTGCAGAAAAGCAAAGACTACTAATGGGCCAGAGCCAATAGGTTTATATGTGTAATCCCATCTGTGTCGATCTCCTTTTGTCAAGGAAGCAACCCCTGGAAGACTAGAACAAGGCAGAGACACCAACTACCCACCCAGCTTTGTTGCAAATGGTTCTAAACCAGTAAACTGGCCTTTGGGTATAATTCCAGTCTTTTTCTTTTTTTATTTCAATGTGTATGAGGGTTTGTCTTCATATTCTAGCAGTCAATGTCTTTACCTGATGAGCCATCTCGCAGCCCCTTCCCTTTGGTGGCAGTCCCAGACGAAAGAAGCAGAGGCCTGGGTGACTCAAATTTTACAGCTGAGAAGTTTGGGGAAATGGAATACCTGACCAGACTCTGCCAGGGTCATCTAACGTTTTTGAGTGTTTCTGTATGTAGACCAGACTGTCCTTAAAGTCAGAGATCCTCCTACCTTTGCCTGTATATGCCACCACCCGACCATTGGGTCACTGACTTTTTTAAAGCATATACCATGTGCATGCCTGGAACCTGGGACTAGAGCCTCTGGAAGTAGTTACAGATGTTTGTGAGATGCCATGTAGGTTCTGGAGACTGAACCTGGGTCCCCAGAAAGAGCAACCTGTGTTCTTAACCACCCAGCCAGTTCTCCAGCCCCTCCAAACTATACCTTGAAACACTGCTATGTCAGGAAACATGTAACTCTAGGGAACAGATGTGATTATGACAAAGATGATGCAGACCATGTGTACCAGCCCCAACTCCTGCTCATACTAAGCTCCCTAGAGGGTACCATGGCTTAAGACAAGGTAGGGCTTTGTGATGTCTTTTTTTTTAAAACATTTTTAAAGATTTATTTATTTATTTATTTATTTATTTATTACATATACACTGTTCTGCCTACATGCCAGAAGAGGGCACCAGATTGAATTATAGATGGCTGTGAGCCACCACGTGGTTGCTGGGAATTGAACTCAGGACCTCTGGAAGAGCAGCCAGTGCTCTTAACCTCTGAGCCATCTCTCCAGCCCAAGGGCTTTGTGATGTCTTAGAAAAAGCAGAAGTGTCTGTTTGTGACTGGAGTGGGCACTGAAATATGAAAGAAATGGTAAGAGGGCAATCTTTAAAGTGCTGAGATTGGCTGCAGGCCCCGAGGGCAAACCAACCAGGTTGCTTAGGCTTTCTCATGTCAGTGATAATTAGCATCATCAATTATGCACAGCATTAATCTCAGAAACAGTGTAGATGGGCTCCTTAAGAAAAGGCAGTTTATTTTGTGCTGTCTTTGGCCTCTATCCAACATCTGGTACTATCCAAGCTTTCAAGCTCAGAGTTCAGAAGGGATGAGGCAGTTATGGAAGAGAAAGTAACAGGGCTGGGAACCAAAAGAAATCCAACTCCCAATTCTCAGGTATCAGGATCTAGGAAGTCTAAAAGCAGATGACCCAGGCCAAGTGTTCTCTTACTCCAACTCCTCAGATGTAACGTCCACAGGCGTCATGGCTCATGTACAAACACCCATACACACAATAAATAAGCATAATGACACAAAACAATAAAAAACAATGACTTCCACTAAAGATGTGTTTGGGGGCTCACAACTGCTAGTGATGCTTAGCTTGGTGCTGCCCCAGGGTCTGTATCCCAGGAAAAAGATGATGACTGTCTAAACCATCACTTTATTGTATGGCCGTCACAGGCTTGTGCATCACTTTCCTTTGATGGGCTTTCTGGCCTTCTCATGTCTACCATAAATGAAAGTGTAAGGCTGCTCCTCTCTGGGCCAGGAAAGGGCAGGGTTTATGTGAGTTCTGAGAACTGACAGTGTCTTTCAACTAGACATAGTCAGAGAGGCACAGTGGAGATTCCACTAGGTTAAGACCAGGAGGGGATTAGGCAGCTGGCTGCCAGGGCAAGCGGGAGCAGTTCAGAGAGCACGTTGATCCTTCACTCTGCAAACTGATCCAAGAATTTGAGGTAGGCTTGGCGCTGGATGGAAGCTGCTGGAATGAAGTGACCACCAGAGTGGGTGAGGGTGACAGCTCCAAGGAATCGGCTAGCCAATTGCATACTCTCCTGAGGAGGGATGACGCGATCAGTGTCCCCAAACACATGAAGCGAAGGCAGTGACAAGGGGCTCTGCAGGATGGATTCCTTAAGGCCAAGGCCTCGGGGACAGAACCCGGACACAAGTATGATAAAACGAGGCAAGGGGAATCGGAGATCGCCTGCCTGACCCAGGGCACACACAAAAGCAGCTAGTGCAGCCCCCTGGCTGAAGCCAAGGAGTCCATCGAAAGGTCCCAGCGTGTCCAGGGCCTGGGCCACTGTTTCCAGGGCCTTCTCCAAACCCCTGCATGCTGTAGGCTCTTCCAGTGCGGAGAAAACATCTGCGTCCTGTTCAGAGAACCACCAGCCTCGAGGTTGCTCCTCCGGAGCAGTGGGCCCTAGAAGCAGATAAGAGAAAAGCGCAGGACCGGGGTTAGAGGGGACCAGGGAAGAGAGGGGGCAAAGCTTGGGAAGGACGCTGCCAGGAGACTAGGGAGGGAGTGGGGGAAAAGACCTGGGACGGGCTGGACTCAGATAAAGGAAACCTGGGAGCGTGGGCTGGAGCCTGAGTTAAAGGAGCTGGGTGAGTGAGAACAGAGGTCCGGGTGTGTTAAGGGGGCGGCGAGACGCGAGGGATTTCCGGAGCAGCCTTGTCTCACCGGAGTCTGGCCCGGCGCCCTCGGGAGCTGCTGCCTCGGGGACCGGGTGCGGCCCGCTGAGGCACACGAGCTCCGCGCGGCCCCGCAGCGCCTTCCTCAGCGCCCCAGTCTTCTCACGGAAGCCCCGCTCGCTCTGCCGGAAGCCCGACAGGCACAGCACTCTCAGGGGTTGCCGTGCAGCCATACCGCAGAGCTACAGGAAGTAGGCCTTCCCTGGGCGGAAATGGAACCCGCGTGGGGCGTGGCCCGGCCCCACCCAGAAGGCGGGGCCTCGGGGAGGGCTGGCGCTCCAAAGACAAAAAGGTGGGGTGTGGCTGCAAATACCTTCGACTCGAGACGTCTCAGGGATCCGGCAGTGCAGCCCTCTGGTCTGTGCAGCTACAGCCCTCACAGGCTGGGGCTGGAAACTGGCCTCTGAGACCCTGATGTACCTGAGGTAGCCAACGAATCCAGGTCTCACTAATGCAACCTCCACCCGGCAACCTTGCATTTCCCCTGGTATCCTCTGGGCGGCGGCCGTGGCCACGTCGCTGGCTCTGCCATCCTTAGGTCCCCACCTACCTTGCCAGATGCCAGCTGGCCGAGACCCCGGGTTCCAGGGTCCCGACCGTGATTCACTGTCCATGGACCTAAGGAGTTGCCAGCATAAAAGTCCATGGGGTAGGGCTGCTGCCAGGAAATGTCCTTTAGGGCCACGGCCGCCTAGGGGGGGAAAAAGACAATGATACCAATACCTTTTTTTTTTTTTTTTTTTTGCCTCTGCATTAGTAAATTTGACCACAGCCTAAGAAAGGTATTATGTAATTATTGTTATATAACAGATACTACAAAAAGGAAATGTGAGGTGAGGAAACTCACATTTACACAGCATCTCAGGTATAGTGGCTCTTTGCAGCCAGCCTAGGCTACTACCAACATTATAGACCAAGTATTAAGATCAATTCTTAAATGCAAGACGGTGGCTCAACCTGAGGAACATGCTCACCCATGCCAGCCAGCTCACAACCCTCAACAGGAGGTACAAAGCCCACTCCCCTGTACATTTCCAAATTGGTCCTTACCTCATAGGGTGTCAGCAGTGGCTTGGGAAAGGCTGAACCCCAGTCAATGGAGAGGCGTGGGCATGCCACCTGCACCCACCTAAGAAGGGAAGTTAGTAAGACTTGATGTGGAGTCCACCTTCCTCTGAGGCACCACACTGAAGAACATGACCATCTGTCAACAGGATGTATTGATTCTATTGTTATGAATACTGTACTGTTGGGAAGGTAACTCCAATGTGCTTGCCTTGTAAGCCAAGGATTTGACCTTAACTCCCAGAACCATTGCATTAAAAAAGGAAGTGTGTGTGTAGGGTGGGCTATACACTTTCACCTCAGCACTTGGAAGGCCTTGACCGATGGATGGCAAACCAGCCTACTTGGCAAGCTCCAGGGCAGTGAGAAACCCAGGCTGAGAGAGAGAGAGAGGGAGAAGGAGAGAGAGGGAGAAGAAGGAGAGGAGGTGGACAGCACCTGAGGGTGGCCAGAGTTCCATACACACAAAAGGAAAAAGAATTAAAGTTGGGCGGTGGTGATGCTTGCCTTTAATCCTAGCACTCAAAAGGCAGAGGCAGGTGGATCTCTTCAGTTCAAGGCCAGCCTGGTCTATAAAGCAAGATCCAGGACAGCCAGAACTGTTACATAGAGAAACCTTATTTCAAAAAAAATCAAAAGAAAAAAGTTCCACCTTAAGTGAACCAAACTCGGGTTATCAAGCCTTATTCCAATAGCCATCTCCCTAGTCCCTAGGAGCTTTCTAGGGGTAATTCATTTGTGGGGAGTCACCCCCCAGAACCAAAGTTTGTACATAGGACCCTCGCACTCATCTCCCACACTGTGATGTTCAGACAAAGCAAGTGGCCCACGGTCAAAGGTGGCCCCTGCTAGAAAAGTACTTGATAAATATTAAAATTTCATGACCACATATGCAATTCCCATTAGCTGCAGCCTTAAGTCTGTGCTAGGTGGAACCTGGTTTCTAAGATCCCTTTAGCTGGTCACACTACAGGCAAGGTGGGGGAACTCACACGTCCACCGTGGGAAGTAGACTGAGCTTGCTGGGGAAGATCTCAGAGAGCAGAAGCCTCACGAAGGGAAGTCCCAAGTCTTTGAGTCGAGATTCCAAGTGCTGTTGGGAGAAGGAGGCTGTGATGCAGCAGCCAAAAGCTGGAACCCTTGGCCGACAGATTTCTCCAGCTACTCTCCTGGCAGCCCCCTCCTCCTGACCCTGAGCCCTCTCACCTCCAGGATCTTGGGACTACCCTGGCGGCCCAAAGTTCCCAGAATAAGGCCCCAGGACTTGGCTGAGCGTGCGGCAGCAATGGCTTCCTGCCGAGTGGCCTGCATGCGCTGATGGTCATAGTGCTCTCTGGATAGGACTTTGCTATATGGGTCGTACCTGGAAGAGTTGCCAGGGTCATGTGACAGCCAGTGGCTTCCTGACATAGGATCTAAGCGAGTAATTAAGAAATCTGAAAAAAAAATCTGGCCCCAGGCAGGAATGAGAATTGTTACCAAGGAGATCAGCCCCATAGCCAGAGCAGGGAAGAGCAAGGGGGTGTTTTAGGAACTTTGTATGACTCCCAGGTAGGCAACAGCAGTCCTGGGTCTAAATTCCAGATGTGCCTCACTTAGAGATGACTGCCATTTAGTGAACAGGGAATGTGGAGTAGCCTCCTGAGGGCCTCCAGGGCAGAGATTCTCACCCTACCACAGATGTCAGCCCTCTCCAGCCCTTACCGGTAAGCAGAGACATTGGGGTTGGCAATCATGACGGACTCCAGGTGGAAGCGGCCATCTCCAAGATACCTGCAGGGTGGGAAGAATGTGTGAGTCTGGTGTGTAGTAGCACAGGGAGTGCCCTGGTGTACAGGTTCAGATGACTGAGTCTTCAGTCACCCATGCTGCTGAGACAGTACTCAGTTCATCTTAGGGCCTCTTATATGTACAGTAAGGAGCTAGACTTAGATGCCTCAGAACCACCTCTAGCTGTGTAATGCAGTCTTCTGGGGGGAAAGTAAAGAAGTGTCAAGGCCAACAAAAGGCATTTGGGCTCAGGAGAGCCTAATTTCAAAGCCGAGAGACAGTTTCTCTTTTATTAAGCTCAACACAGACATAAGAAGCTGTGTTTAAGCCATGGCATGGGTGGTTCAGTGGTAGAATTCGATTCCCCAACCATCTACAGTTCAATCTGGTGGCCCCCTTCCCCCATGTAGGCAAAACACTGTATAAATCTTAAAAAAAAAAGATGTGCCGGGCGTTGGTGGCGCACACCTTTAATCCCAGCACTCGGGAGGCAGAGGCAGGCGGATCTCTGTGAGTTCGAGGCCAGCCTGGTCTACAAAGTGAGTTCCAGGACAGCCTCCAAAGCTACAGAGAAACCCTGTCTCAAAAAACCAAAAAAAAAAAAAAAAAAAAAAAAAAAAAAGACGTTATCTATAGTCAGGGCTGCAGAGATGGCTCATTGGTCAAGAGCACTGGCTGCTCTTCAGAGGACCTGGGTTGCATTCCCAGCACCTACACAGTGGCTCACTGCTATCTGTAATTCCTATTCTAGAGGATCTGATGCCCTTTTCTGACCTCCAAATGGACCAGGCATATTCGTGGCAAACAAACATACATGAAGGTAAAACATTCATACAATAAAAATAAAGAAGCTCGTGGTGTTGGTCCACCAGGGGGTGGCACACACCTTTAATCCCAGCACTAGGGAGGTAGTGACAGGTGGACCTCTGAGTTTGAGGCCAGCCTGGTCTACAGAGTGAGTTCCAGGACAGCTAGGGCTACACAGGAGAAACCCTGTCTCAGAAATACAAAATAAATACAGACATAAAAAATTTAAATATATGTTATATAGGTCATAGAGGAGGCTCTAGGGTACACAGAAGCTACTCTTGAACCAAGCGCTGAGTTACAACTGCTATTTCCTAGTCTTCTGATATCCAGGCTTGGACTAACTAACTAAAACATCTAGACTTTTTTTTTATTAATTTTAATTCTATATGCATTGGTGCTATTCCCTAGGTGTCAGGTCCTCTGGAACTGGAATTACAGACAGTTGTGAGCTGCCATGTGGGTGCTGGGAATTGAACCCAGGTCCTCTGAAAGTGTAGTCAGTGCTTTAACCACTGAGCCATCTCTCCAGTCCCCAAAACATCTAGACTTTAATATGTTTGCTCAAGACAGGTATAGTGACTCATGTCCTTTTTTTTTTTTTTTTTTTTTTGAGACAGGGTTTCTCTATGTAGCCTGTACTGTCCTGGAATCTGCTCTGTAGACCAGGATGGCCTCGAACTCATGTGCTACCACCACCCGGTTAGTGGCTCGTATCTTTAATTCCAGCACTTGGGAGGCAGAGGCAGGGGATCTCCATGAATCTGAGGCTATACGGTGAATTCCAGGACAGCAAAGGCTACATAGTGAGACCTTGTCTCAAAAACAAACACAAACAAAGCAAAACCCATTTGCTCAAAGTTATACAACTATCAAGCAGTGTATCTGAGATCTGATACCAGGCTTCACCACTTGGCCTCACTGGAGATATACTCTCCCATAGTACCTTCCTGGGTTCTGGAGAGTCTAGAGCCAACACTCAGGACATCTCCCTCAACACTACCTTAAAGTCCCCGGATGATGGGTTAGAACACATACATGGGGAATGGTCCTTGGGGAACAGGGCTGCCAGGTCTGGCTGTAGAAGACCTATATGTGGGCAATAGTAGCCTATCTGGATGTAGCAAAACCTGTGGAAGCAGTACACAAAGCTCCCAGGGGTGGGGCTGAGTCACAGTGCCCCTCCCACCTTCCTAGCCATTAGCTAGGAAAGGACTCCCTCTCCAGAGTCCCAGCCAGAGGAGCTGTGGGTTCTGGGGCTGGCTGCATTCACACAACATTAAGCATTTCCATTACCTAAAATAATTAGGCAGCAGGAGACACGCAGCTCCTGCTTGTTAGCTGTCCGGATGCTAAATTAATGGGGCTGCAGTCTGGGCGTGCCCATCCATCTTTTCCAATTATATTCCCTCCATTTCTATCCATCCTGATGCCCCATCAGGCCTGAGTTCTGCCTCCACCCTGGGCATAGTCTTCTGGATGAAGGAGGGAGGGGACAAGGGAAGGCGCAAGTAACCCTCCAGTGGGGCTCCCACTTGGGCCCCATCTTGCAAGGTGACCTTGAGCACAGGTTAGGAGCGTTAGACTCCGCCTCCTTCCCTGTGCTTCGCTTTGTATGTCTCACTTAC